CCATGGATATATCTACATGAAAGGCAGGCTCGGCAGCAGGCCATGTATATATCTACATGACAGGCAGGCTCGCCAGCAGGCCATGGATATATCTACATGACAGGCCATGGATATATCTACATGCCAAGCAGGCTCGGCAGCAGGCCATGGGTATATCTACATGGCAGGCAGGCTAGTAAGCAGGCCATGGATATATCTACATGCCAAGCAGGCTCGGCAGCAGGCCATGGATATATCTACATGACAGGCAGGCTCGGCAGCAGGCCATGGATATACCTACCAAGTCATTAGTACAGGTATTGCCAGTGTAATATCTTTAACAACCCAATGGTCAAATGTTGTAGCCTGTCCAAAGAGAACATTCCTTTTCTGCATTATAACTGACCAGTACTTTAAGGTTACTAAAGCATGTTATGAGCTACCACAGACTGACCAACGATATTTGGCACCCTAAACTATATATGTTGGCCAGAACAGGTATTTTCCATTGGCATATCGTGATCATTGACTTCAAACATAGCTAATGAATATAGTCAATGTTCCACAGACTTGTGAAAGTTCAGGCCCCAGTGTTGTTACTGGTCAGCGTGGGTGCCCAACAATTATATACCAGCAGTCATCCTTCTACTGACCTGGGGTTGACACCAGGATACAGTGGTACCAGGGACAAAGTCTGACCCCTCCATGAACAGATTGCAAGTTTGGCCACATTTTACCCATTGACCAATACATACTAGCCTGTCGAGTGACCAACTTGGACTGTCTTCAGGAAGCCCACAGATGAACCCCGAATTGGCATAATGACTAACCCCAGCGAACCTGAGTAGTAAGTTACGATCCAGATTTCAGATAATTACTTAATATCTTTTTTTTTCTGTGGATCAGTCAATTAACAGATACGTTCATATGCTAGCTGGGCCATACTAAACCGGAGCAGATTTGTTGGCAGTGCTACATAGAGCCACAGAAAATCAAAGAGTCATGAGTTCAAGATTTTGGCTATTTGTTAACTCATTCACCCCTGAAATTTCATAATGAACTATTCCAACCTTTGAATTGGAAGAGTTCAAATGTGGCTTCAGGGGGGAATGAGTTAATGGTTGTACACCATATATTTCCTTATAACCCATTTAATGTTAACTGGTTGAGTGATTTATATATATATAGAAAACACCTCCACACAAAATATCAAGTGCCTTGGGTTACAAAACGAAGCAGCCCAACACAATAGAGATTACACAAAATCAGATTACTGACAAAGTGAAAGTTCTAGCTTGTGGGAATGTTGGTGTTGTGACTCCTTAAACTGATCGCAGTGTGGAAATGTTGGTGTTGTGACTCCTTAAACTGATCGCAGTGTGGAAATGTTGGTGTTGTGACTCCTTAAACTGATCGCAGTGTGGAAATGTTGGTGTTGTGACTCCTTAAACTGATCGCAGTGTGGAAATGTTGGTGTTGTGACTCCTTAAACTGATCGCAGTGTGGAAATGTTGGTGTTGTGACTCCTTAAACTGATCGCAGTGTGGAAATGTTGGTGTTGTGACTCCTTAAACTGATCGCAGTGTGGAAATGTTGGTGTTGTGACTCCTTAAACTGATCGCAGTGTGGAAATGTTGGTGTTGTGACTCCTTAAACTGATCGCAGTGTGGAAATGTTGGTGTTGTGACTCCTTAAACTGATCGCAGTGTGGAAATGTTGGCAAGGTTTCTCAAATCTATATATCTATAAATACATATTTGCATGCAGATAGTTTCATGCTGATTTACTCAACAAGAACAATTTGAGCCCTTCCACTCCACAAAAATTTCCACTTTAATAGTATATAGGAAACACAATAGTGAATCATGGAGATTTTAGGAAGCACACTAGTAAATCATGGAGATTTTAGGAAACACACTAGTAAATTATGGAGATTTTAGGAAACACACTAGTAAGTCATGGAGATTTTAGGAAACACACTAGTAAATCATTGAGATTTTAGGAAGCACACAAGTAAATCATGGAATTTTAGGAAACACACTAGTCAATCATGGAGATTTTAGGAAACACACTAGTAAATCATGGAGATTTTAGGAAGCACACAAGTAAATCATGGAGATTTTAGGAAGCACACAAGTAAATCATGGAGATTTTAGGAAACACACTAGTGATTCATGGAGATTTTTCGTCAATTTTATCTGTGCAAATGGACGAACAAGTCTGTCTATATCATTATGTTCATCTGAAAGCTGAACTCCACTGGGAAATTATTTACACCTTGAGGCAATCTTTTGATATTATTAAGATGGCCAGATATTGCAGATATTTTTGTACGGAAACCAGAACTTGCCTTTGACGTCACAAAACACTGCTGGCATCGTCGGCTGGGCCTTAATATCCCCGACTGAGCTGCCATTTGCAGAGACCCCAGCAGATTTTGTTATTGAGCAGATGTAATGGCTTGATTTCCATGGCGATCAGGAGACAATCAAGGAAAGGTCAGAATAAGAATATTCCATAGGTGCTGCACTCTACAAAACTGTTTTAGTAACATAATCAACTGACCACACATCTGGTCATTGTTGGACCAATCCAAACTTCAGCATAGCTGTCTTTCTACTATTGTATAGAATTATCATCTTATCTAGATCAGGAATTTTCTTAGATAACACACGCATAGTATAGCTAAGTTGTCTAATGAAGGAATTGGCCGTCAGCAATAAAATAATTAGCCATCAGTGGTAAAATACATATTTGCTCGATGGAAATACCACCCTAATCAGTTTTGAACAAAACTTGTACTTTACCATTTGTAAAAGCACAGACAGAAACCCGTCATTCCCGTCAAGTCCTGCAATCAACTATTGCCAGGTTTAGCTTCGCTAAGGAGGTTTAACATTGACAAAGTTAAACTGCAGCAAACAGTTTACTGTTTACAGTTTTGTTTCCTGAAACCAATATGAATGCTGCAGATGGCTGTATCAATCTAGCCTGTGGGAACCATAGAGCCCCTAACATAATATACTGTCATAGATTGGGGCACAGAATGATAACTGCACTATTGCTTGTGTGTACAGTAGGACCTTGTTAGTCAGGACACTTTGGTTTGTGTGTATAGTAGAACCTTGTAAGTCAGCACACTTTGGTTTAATTGCATGTACAGTAGAACCTGTTAGTCTGAACACTTTGGTTTATGTGTACAGTAGAACTTGTTAGTCTGAACACTTTGGTTTGTGTGTATAGTAGAACCTTGTTAGTCTGGACACTTTGGTTTGTGTGTACAGTAGAACCTTGTTAGTCTGGACACTTTGGTTTGTGTGTACAGTAGAACCTTGTTAGTCTGGACACTTTGGTTTGTGTGTACAGTAGAACCTTGTTAGTCTGGACACTTTGGTTTGTGTGTACAGTAGAACCTTGTTAGTCTGGACACTTTGGTTTGTGTGTACAGTAGAACCTTGTAAGTCTGGCCACTTTTAATTGCATGTGCAATAGAACCTTGTTAGTCTTGACACGTCGGTTTATCTTTTATAGCAGAACCTTGTTAGTCAGGACACTTATACTATTGTTTGAAACTTTCTAGCACCTTTTGTGTAACATATGCTGACAAAGCAATGGATTCTGTCTGCAGCATTCAACCACCAGCTACACTGGTCTACATATAAAATACATCCACTGAATATTTCAAACAACATAATGGAAACAACAACACATTTCCAGTAGGTATATTGATTCTATATATTGCTAGTACTACTGTATCAGGATCATCCATAGAGTAAATTGCTAAAGTGGTCGACACTTCAATGAGATTTCAGAAGAACATTTCCCTCACAGTAAAACAACATAAAGCTGATTGTAGCTACGGAGATTTGATATGTCAGATCTGTAGAGAGGAGAACTGATTCTAACTCGACCTTAGTGGAGATCATTATTACACGCACAGCTCCACAGTGTAGAACTCTCTCGTCAGACTGGTTCAATTCTTGGTATTACCCAAAATATACACTTACATATTTCCTTAATTATCTTTATTTACACAAAAAATGCTGCGTTTGTTTGTACAGAATGTGCGTCAATAGGCCTCAGACTTAGGTTTGGGAGGAGGCCAGCAACATGGAGCAGGAGTGATGAAGTTGTTGTTGTTTCCAAGATCCGTGAAATAAGCATTTTATCTTGTTTATACATGAAAAGGAGTTCTGTTCTCTCGACTCTCTAGCTCTTTGACCTAACCATACTTTGTACTTTTAACCTTCGCTTTCCTGTTTTCCAGATGATGGAATTTACAAGATCGGCATTTATCAAGCTCTGACGTGAAAATATGGTTATAATTTTGACTGAAAAAACTGAAATATTTTCATTAAGATATATTCATAAATTGTTCCTACACGGGGAATAAATTTCACGAAAAATATTATGACACGATAATTCTTGAAGTTTCAGTGCATCTCCTTTGCTTTTCTCCAATGTATGGACCATGTTATTATCAGTAATTTCCGTGGTCCAAAAACATGAGCAGAACAACTTGTCACTATAATGATACACAACATTTGATATAGGGCCCTTATGATCTAGCTGACATAAGCCACTCTAAAGCGCTTTACAGTACATATATATACAATTTAATACAATTAATACAATTAGCATATACATTAATCAATACAATTTTGAGGAATTTGCAGGAGCTGCCTTATCAGGCGCTAACTACTAGTCCTATGTCACCTGGCTAATATCTCCCTATGTGTGTGTGCTGGATATGTAATGTGTTCTGTTTGTAGTGGGACCGTGCATCTCATTTGAATGCTACAGCACAAAAACCACAACATCCACCCCAGACCAATTTATACTCCACCTGGGTTGTTGGAGTTGTGTGGGCAGGAGAAAAACACTTTCTCTGAATATCCATGCGTACGACGACTTCGGGGACGACGAACCCCGGCGGGCTGCGTGGAAGGCCAGAGTGTTAACCACTCAGCCGACCCGTCCACTAATTACATACATTATGAGAAAGTACAACTATGACTGACCTTGTAGTCAGGACCAATGGGCTTCTTGCACTCCTCACAGTTGTGAGCGAACTGCTCCTGGTAACAGGGGATGCAGTAGGGGTTCTCCTCTTTGAGGATGTAGCGACAAGCAATCAGCTTCTTATCACAGTTATGGCAAGCCAGGTGATCTTTGTGGTAGTTCTGCTCCATGGCCTTCGTATATTCCCCAGAAAATATCAACTACAAAATACAAAATAGAAATTTCTTTTTAATATAAATGTGAAAAAAATATTTTTCAATCATAGCAATATGATATGTACATCTTCTAAATGTTTGTCTGCTGGACATCTACTTGGTGATGAAGTGGACAGTAAACCACTCATACAAACAAATCTTCTAACTGTCATTTTGTCCTGTCACTTAATGTACTAATAAGAGATAAAACAGAACCACCAGTCATAATAAACCTTTCTTCCTGCTATCAGATGGCTGCAGGATTTAATTATGAGTTCACGAAAAACTCTGACGAGACAACATTTGATTGATGCTCAGAGTAACTCACAAGGAACTGTGGAAACTGATTTGGAAACCAACTTGAAAACAATTCTTCCTTCCAAAACAAAACATGCCTGCTGTTTCTTTAAAGTCAGTCTGGTGCAAGACAAGTACGTAACAAATTCTTGCATAACATGAAATACATGACATACAGCAAAATACACCAAGTAAAATAGCAGAAAGGTATTGGAAGAAAATTGGTATTTTTTAAAGAAATTGAAACGCCGCCAAAAGGTTGTAATGACCCTTCCAGCCTACGTCTGATCATTGAGCCTTCCATGTTTACGTACTAGCTATTACATCTGATCGTATCTCTGAGTACCCTACACAAACATGCATACCACACAAAGATCCCTCTCATCACAAGCCTCCCTCTGATCTGGAGCAGAAGCTACCAAACATAGACATGCAATCAGGCACACATGTGTAATCCAACAGACTCTTGAAACCAATAGATAATCTCACAAAACATAGAGTTTCTCAAAACCTATAACAAGATCATTTATCATTTCAAAGCATTTTTTGTTCAAAATAGATAATGATAGCTGCTTAGAAAATCTACAGTAAAATAATATCCTAATAATTCTGTCCAAACCTTTAGGTGTTCCCAAAACACAGATACCCTTTTAACCTTGCTAGCAAAATTTCATTTAAAGTTTAATGATAAAAATTTCAAAACTCCAATTCAGCAATTCAAGATTGATTCAATAAATCAGCCTTGCATGAAGCTGGAAAACAACTGTAGGACGAGAATGCCCTCTTGGCCCTGTAAAATTAGCTTAAGTTGGTCGGTCGATATGCATGCACAAATAGCACCAGTGACCTTGACATTGACCTAAGCTTGGACACTGTAATATAAATTAATCCCAGAAATTTACTTACTTAACCTTTGTATAAGGTAGGATAAAAATCTGCAGAAAAATAACGTTGATAGACTGACGATAATGAATTTTGTTGACAAAATAGCAACAGTGACCTTGGCAATGACCTTTGACTCTGTTATACAAAAGATATTCTCATACTTTCCATTCAAATAAACTTGAATAAAATCTGTTAAGAAATAAAGCTGGTAGAGACGTGACAATAAATTGTGATGGGACGGGACAGAACAGACATGGATAAGCACTTCATCTTCCCCTATCCCATATGAAATGGTGGGGGCAGAAAAATGACGACACCCAGAGTGCTTTTCGATAAACTTCAGTAGAATTGAACTGCAGTCCTTCACAAATCTGTAAGGAAATTCAACAATAAAATCTCATTATAATACCAACAGAATAGTACACATGTCTGTCAGGACATCGACCAATAGCGTCACACTTGAATCTTTTGAATATATTAGGCCGTAACTAGCTATCAGGCATTTAGAATACCTATGTAATTAGATTAATGCTAAGTTCACGACATTCCTAATGTAGAGAAATGTTAAGTCTTCCAACCTATAGAGACAAAAAAAACAATACAAATGTACTACCATTCATAGGTATGGTTAGTCGGAATATTTGCCAAATGTAACAGAAATGGGAAAACACAACAGCCAGAGCAGAATTTGAATCTAAGACCTTCACATTCTAGTTGAACACCATTAGGAACCCACTGAGCTATCAGCTGGTCACTGGCAATCTGTTACTATGGATGTTACAGGGTCTGGCTGTCACCTTGAAGGGTTGGGGGATCCATCATATGCCAAATTTTCAATTATGAAGAAAGAATTTACACCATGGTGATATAAAAATTCTAACACATATAATAACTTGATGATGAAGGGCCTATGTGTGTTTGTTTATCTTTCATCCTAATGTCCATGAGGAATCTGATCACATTAACACTACAGACATGCATTATGTACACATAGACCTATGATAACTCAATTTCGTCACATGCTGTAATAATATTTCAGGTTTTCTACCATATCTTTTTTCAATCCCTAACTCATTCAATTCCTATCAGCAAAAGTTTCACATACCAGACATATTTTTATTTGGAAGAAACTAAACTATTTTCAAAACTTTTATCATATCCATTGTGAATTTAGTGAATATTTCCAAATGATATATTCCTCAAATTTGAACAATATGTGTAACACAGTACCAGATTTTGAATGGATATTGTTTATTAGTTTGTTGGCACTGAAATGTCTGCAGTGAATAACAATTTAATCTGTATATATCACGGTTCCAGCCTGACTGGTAGAAATGACTGCCCCAAACACTCTGTCTGCCCGTTCTACACATTCTACAGAAAATCACCACCATTATATTCCTACATCTAATAAACTCGTCCAGGGCATTAGGAATAGATTTTTGACCAACACTGATATCTGGATCTATGGTGTATATTGCAACAGTTTTATTTCTGTGTAAGTGACTGAAATTTCTAGAGGAATACTGTTACCACTACCGATCAAATCAACACTAGACAATGAGGCGCCTGCCATATTTTGTTGCCAAACATTCAACATCAGAATTTCTTGGGTTTTTTTTAAATGGCAACCTTCTCAAAATTATCTCTCAAACAGTGTTTTAAAATTTTATTCCACATACAAACATATAATTGAATTGACAGTGGGTATATGCAATCAATAATTTTATGCAGGTTTGCCATTTCAGACACTGGTGAGAGGTCCAACACATTGGATGGTAATTTTTGCACATGGTACAGAATCTGTGCCGCTCAAGATTGAAAACTTATTTATCAGACCTAATACTGAATTTTGATGTTTTGATGTTAAGCATTCTTCGATTCAAGTGAACCTGACCAAATATCAAACCACATCATGTAGCTGACAATTTCTCTATTTGAACTTTACAGAGAAGCCATTATCAAATATTCACTCTCCATTACAAGTTTGGTGCTAATTTTCCCTATGTTTAGATCTAAACATGTACAACATTGACAGTTCTTAGCCTGTCAACAAAACCACACCAGAGCTGTCATGGCCGCCATCTGACAATAACCGCAACACATAACAGGGACATGATAATCAGATGTGATTACTATAATACGATAAGTGTATACATGTCTATGTGAATGCACAAGTATAATTTTGTCACATCACTGCATGCATTTATCTCCTGATATTTCTTGCTGCTGTAAACTGGGTGATCTGACCTTGACCTTCTCATCCTATCAGCCAGATACAGTCTGACAAATCCTGGTGGTTCCCACCAATTTACTACACTATTTGGCTGGTTTGTCTCTCAATCTTGTTTATAATCACATTATTATCTTTTCAATCTACATTGCAATACTTTATATTAGTTTAAAGAGTCAATATTCTGCAGAGAATCCTCTGCTGTCTTGAAATACAACCATAATTTCAACATACTGGTTCATCATAAGTTTAGTAGTATATACAGTTTCCAGTTTGTACAGCAACAAATGTTACAGGGATCATAAACCATTCAAATAATGTTTATGACCAGTTATAATCAGGTCTGGGGTAAGCATTCTAACAGTGGTTACTGTTCCTAAGGAGTTACAGTACACAGTTGTTACCTGACACAGGTTACCATAACAAAATACTAAAACTCCTCTCCCGAGCCTCTGATCATTTAGATAATTGGTGAAACCATTGCAATAAGTACAGACTGTTTACACTACTGCAAAACCCTGGATGTCTGGAGCCACACTATGGCAACAGTAATTTAGTAGAAAAAAACCTTCTCATTATTTCTGCATACACATAAATTGATGTCTCATCTGTATAACACTTCTACTGTACTAATGGAAGGCAGGATAACAACACAGATGAGTTGTGTTTGTCAATCTCTGTCAACAGCACAATCTATTTCTCCCCGAGTAAGTGATGATTCGATAACCATGAAGATGTTTTTTTGTAACACTTTTTGTCATTTCATGCATTCCTGTATCATACACTGAGCTAATTGTGAATTGTCCCTGGTGGAAATGCATTGCATCACAGCATACACCAAGTCAAATAATACTTGATTCAAAACACTAAAGACAATCCATAAATTTCAGACAACTTCATATAGCTCATGCAGATATCTCAGAGAACACCAACCATCTCACACCACTCCAACTCCTGAGACAACTCCAACCATCTCACACCAATCCAACCCCTGAGGCAACACCAACCATCTTGTACAACTTCAACAATACTTCCACAACAATTTCCTACTGAATTCACATAGGATTTTTCACATATTGCGAGAGTAATTAAGAGAAAATCATATTCAAAGTTAGACACAAATACCTAACTTCCCTAACTCAATTATTAAAAAAAATATTAATTATAATTTATGTCTTCAAGCAGATATGTATGTCCTACTTAAAATTAGAAACATAATTTCTTATTTTCATAACAGTAATTAAAGTACCTCCAATAATGCCTCAATAGGTGAAATTTGGGCTACCTCTTTATTTACTTCTATTTGAAACACATGTTTGCATAGAGCCTCTTAAAGGTTTCTTAAAAGCTATTAAAACTTACATATACTTTCAAGTTTGTGTGAGAAGTTTTCTATATTTCTTAAAAAATATACGAAAAAAAAAATCATTTTGCAAAACATGTTTTGAATGTTATCACCTAAAATTGTCATGCTTGCATTCACTTACCAGAAAGGAATAAGGAAATATAGTAATACACCACTAGACTAAGTCCCTGCTTCAGCTGCTAAAGGAGTGCACAGAGGATGGGGCCTATAGCTTTCTGATTCAAT